TGTATATATTCTCTACCTGCAATTCTGAACTCCCAGCACTCCCCTCCACTCTCTCCCCAAGGTCTGGAAGCCTATCCCCCATGGAATCCAGATTTGGGGGCATTTTCTCGAGACCTGTGGACAGGGCATGGACTATTGCAGGTCTGTGCTGATTCTGTGGCACAGGGGGAAGGAGAAAATGATGGACTGAAGGAACCATATGGAAAAGGTAGAGGCAATGCCCCTCAAGCACAGAGCAACAGCAGCAGCAGTGGGAACAATAGGGCTCACACCCCGGGGGATATTTTGGAAAGACACTCCCTATCTCTCTGGGCAACCAGAGAAAGATGGGCATCTTCTCTGGTGGCAGACACTAGAGGAGTAGATCTGGGACTATAACACAGGCCCTGTGAGCAAAGGGTATGACTAAGGCCATACCAGCCTGGGCAGGGTGCTGCAGGGACGGAGAACAGAAGACGCATGCAGAGACAGCATAATCCCAGGACAGGGCTACGTCAGGACTGCTTTAGTGAGCCTAAGAAGCACCTGGCCCTCAGGGGACCATAGTTGAGACAAAGGCATGTGGGCTGAGGCTGCAACTCAGAGCCGAGTGTGAACTCTAACCGCACCTGCCCCAACACAGACTGCAGTGGAGACAGACACACTAGCTCTGGGCAGTGGCACAGACTGGGACTGAGTTGCAGTTTCCCCTGTGAACTCAAACAGTGCCTGGTCCACAGGGGAATATAGCCAGGACAGAATCACAAATTCTACACAAATATAAGGGTCAGTAACATCAATGAGGGGTGGGGCTGGAACAGAGTGAACCACCCCAGCTTCCATTAACCATCCAAGGCTCTGCCAGATGGTGGCAGAGTGTGGAGGCCTGGCTGAGGAGACATACATCTGCTCATTGGAGGGAACTGGAAGGGGGTTACCAGTGGGGTTACCAATGACTGGGTGTGACAGAGGTACAAAGTGGGGAAAGAGGCATCAACCTTTCCAGACTAATTCATTTGCTGAGGGCGGGGGGGATTTTGACTCCATGAAGACCAGAATGAGTTATACTCAATCTGCCAGCTGACTGCTGCTATCTAGTTGCCAGAGACCTTTTGAACTCTCCCACTTCAGACCAGGTGCTGACTGGGACAATTGATTTGGATCTACCAGACTGGACCAATCACTTGAGGACTATCCAAAGTGGTACCCTGGGTGTGTGGTTGTGGGGAGGTTTGATTTTTCTTTTCCAGTTGTTGCCTAGAGGGGTGGGATGACTTAATTGCTGAGACTTTAACCCAGAGTAACTGATTAACTAGGGGAGGATAGAGACCAGCTGAAAACAAGACAGAGCCACTTAGCCCCACCACAGCAATGTCTCAGGCCATAGCACTGTACGGGTCCTTGGCAAAGTTCTAGGCAAAAAGGTATAGACACCAGTCCCAGCTCTTAGGCAAAGGGTTGGTTAATCACTACTCCAGGAATTCACCCTATCTGCTCATCTAGCAAAATGGTATAAAATAATCATGGGGTGGGATCAGTGGAAAACTTCCAGTAACATAAATAACCAGAGTAGATCAACTCCACTCCCCCAAGGAACAACATGGCAGACACAACTGAAGATTCCATTCATAGACAAATGGCTGAGATGTCAGACATCAAATTCAGAGTTTGGATTGCAAATAAGATTAATAGAATGGAAGTAAGTTGGAATTAGAAATTCAAGGAGCATTTAAAAAGTTGCCTCAACAATTTGATGAATTCAAAGACAAAATCATCAAAGATTTTGACACATTGAGACAAGAATTTGCAGGCTTCAAAGATCTGAAAAATACAGTAGAATCCCTCAGTAACAGAATGGAGCAAGCAGAAGAAAGAATTTCTGACATCAAGAACAAAGCTTTTGTACACTCCCAAGCTCTCAAAGAGGAAGAGAAATGGAGAGCAAAAATGGATCATTCTCTCAGAGAGCGCTGGGATAATTCAAAGAAAACTAATATTCACCTTAGAGGAATTGCTGAAAGCAACAAAGTTGCTTCACAAAGCACAGAGGCTCTTCTTCATGAGATTATGAAGGAGAACTTTCCAGACATGCCAAGAGATTCTGAAAGTCAGATAGCAGACAGTTTCAGAACCCCAGTATGACTCAACTCAAATAAGACATCCCCCTGGCACATCATAATTAACTTCACTAAAGTTAATATGAAGGAGAAAATTCTGAAAGCATTCAGAAGTAAGAAAACCATAACCTGTAAGGGGAAGAATATTAGAATGACTGCAGATCTCTCTGCTGAAACCTTTCAAGCTAGAAGAGGGTGGTCATTGACATTTAATCTCCTAAAACAAAATAACTTTCAATCCAGGATCCCGTACCAAGCTAAACTGAATTTCATTTATGATGGAAGTATTAAATACTTTAATGAAATTCACATGTTGAAGAAATTTGCCATAACTAAACCAGCTCACCAGGATATTCTCAGACCTATCTTCCATAATTACCAGCATAATCCTCCACCATAAAAGTAAACTCACTCAGAAACTTTTGATCAAATTACAACTTCTACAGTGGTGAAAGGATTAAATATGTCCACTGCACTTTCAAAAAACTCGATACCCAAAATTCTACCAGGCTTATCAATATTCTCAATTAATGTGAATGGCTTAAATTGTCCTCTAAAGAGGCATAGGTTGGCTGACTGGATACAAAAACTCAGGCCAGGTATCTGCTGCATGTAAGAATCTCATCTTACCTTAAAGGATAAATATAGACTCAGGGTGAAGGGATGGTCATCTATATTTCAGGCAAATGGAAATCAGAGAAAAGCAGGTGTTGCAATTTTATTCACACATACAATAGGCTTTAAACCAATAAAAGTAAGGAAAGATAAAGATAGTTACTTCATATTTGTTAAGGGTAACAATCAACATGATGAAATTTCAATTATTAACATTTATGCACCCAAACAGAATGCACCTCAATTTATATGAGATTCTAACAGTCATGAGCAACTTGATTTCCT